CAAAACAAAGCACAAGACGCACCCTCAGGCAGACTCCTTTTGTGCCTCCAGGAAACTAAGACAGGCCAGCATCAGACATCCCTGGGAAACCACACCACGGAGCCAACCCTGGGGCATGGCAGAAGGAGCGGGTGTCTCCCTGAGGACTTCAGTCAAAGGGAAAGCTGGGCTGGCTGGACCCAGCTTAAGGGCGAGGACCCTGGGTCTAGGCTGGGGACTTGGGCACTCAGACCAGAGCAGGAGTCCTTTCCGACGATGAACCAGAGCCCCAGTCAGCAAGTTCTGGATATAATTGGGGGGAGCTGGACAGTATTAAAGCATCATACAGTAGTGCATGATAAAAATGAGAGATTATAGAAACTGTACAATAGATTGTATCAGTAAGCATATTTATATTAAATATTAATAATATTTACAAAAATAAATGTATATGTCAACAAACTTACACAGAAATATACACTGCATATAACTCTATGCCACGATATCAGTGCAGACAGGGCGAGGTGTTCACGCATCTGTGTGTGCATGTGTCTGTGTGTCTGTGGGTGCCTCTGGAAACAGAGGACAGAGTTGACTGCGGCTGGCGTGACAAGCTGAACCAGGGCCCCAGGGCCCCAGTCCCCTCCAGTTCCCCTGGGAAAGAAAGAAATGGAGAGACCTTTTACCTCAGATTGCATCCATGAGGGAACCTACTAATATGCCAGAAGTAGGATATTTTGCAGTTGATTTACTAGCTCATGTTCATGAGCCTGAAAATAAAAACTCTCATGAAGTGTCCATAAATGTCACATTTTATTTCAAGTAGTCTCAAGTTTGCTGCATAAACTCATTAACATTCTGTTTTCATCTGTGTTCATGTGCTTTAGCTTTGTTTAATATGTGAAGTGAAAACATTTCTTTCCTCTGTTCAAGTGATGTTGCAAACAATTGCTCATGCTTCCGTGAATAGTGTTTCCTTTGTACTGTCCTCTGACTTTCTTTCACGTTTTAGCCAAGTTAGAATGACCGTAGCTATTAATAATAATAACAAGTGTAATACCCAGAGTAGGGTAAGGTATGCAGGACTTTCCTGCTGTTCAGTTTCATTTCTCGGAGGTGCAGGGCCACTGTCAACACTACCGCCACGTCCTCTTTTTACACAGAATGGGGGTTCCCACATGGGGACACAATGGCAGTTATGTCTATTGTTACAGACACCATTGAAGTTACAGGTCTCCCGTGAACAGTAACTGTTCAGCACTGACGCAGGGACACACTTCCTCTGGATGCAGAGGCTGTCCACACCACACACTGTTCCGTCTTTGACCTCCCCGATGTCGGGAGTGGTCACCCCAAAATGGTAGTCTGTACTCCAGCAGGACACCCCATTAAAGTGTGTCCAGTGCACTGTGGTGTGATCGCTCAGAACAGGAATCTCTGTCACAATGTCACACTGAACCCTCCCACACAGGACATCCGCCATATCGCATTTTACATAGGTATCACCTTGGAAACCACAGTGCCCAAAGCGGTCCCCTCGGGTGTTCATCTCACGATAGCATCTGTGATTTGCACTCTTGGCCTCTTTACCAAAAATGTTCCTGCACTGCACCTCACGGTTGTTGCATCTCTTTTCATAGCAGTGGCCACCGTCTGAGCAAGGGACCCCGCCCTGCACGTACACGTCCTCGGGACAGAGCGAGGATGTCCCGTTGCACCACTCGGGAAGGTCACATTCGTTTTCTGGTTCTCTGCACAATGCGCCCGATGGCAAGAGTTTGCATTCGTGGCAGCAGAGTCCAGAAGCACACTCAGTGCCGGGGGTCAGGGTGCAGTCTGCCTGACAGCAGGGATCTTCTTCACAGGACTTCACTGAGCCACAGTCACACTCTTCTCCGTAGTCCACCACACTGTTCCCACAGCGCCTGTGCCTGAAGACTCTGTCTGGCTGGGGAGGAGACCTCAGACAGGTTGTTCTCATAACAGTCCTCCAGAAGGCAGCGTAACTGCAGTTGCTAAACTTAGCTGCTACCACTTTGCTAGGGTACATAATGCAGTGCTTTGCCCCACAGGTACACAGTGGTTTATCGTGGGACATTCCTAAGTTATGGCCAAGCTCGTGTGCCATAATATATGCATTATCATGCAGGTCGTCTGATGTGACACTAATAACTCCACAATTACGTCTAGAGATACACACTGTTGCTACATATGCTTTTCCAAGAACAGGCTTATAATTTTTATTTACAAACACATGTACAACATCATGTGGCAAGCGGGCATCAAAGCCACTTTTCTTCCAATCGCAAAATTGTACCAACAAATCGTCAATAAGATCCACCGGAAGGAGGTTGGACTCTGTCCAGATTTCAATGCCGATTAAAATTATTTCAAGTTCCATTGATATGAAATAGCCGCTCATGAAATTCATTATAAGGCACACTTCTGTGTACACATTTGAGACATTGCTCCCCTTATGAAGATAGCGATTGTGGTCTACCACCACGGCCACCTCCACGATCTGCTCGTGGGTCCACCACCCTTCATAGCCGCTCTGCATCAGGGG